ATATTTGACAACGAAACCAGAACGGAACCCAGCAAACCACTTTTGTGCTACACGTTCATTTACAGTATCGGGCCCTTAAGCGAAATCAATTTTTTTAGCCACTTTGGCTGCTTTTTCGCCTTGATCGAAGAAAAGTTGTAAAGTTTAGCAAATTTTCTCTTTGTTGGTGTCCATCTTTGACGAGCGCTCACAACGTACTGAGTCAATCAGTTGAAAAACTGTCAAACACAAACAAAGAGATTAGTGAGAATAAACACGTCTTCAGCACCGTATAGTATGACCTGATGGGACACGTAACACTAGTACTACGGACTATAACGAAAATACTTAGATAAAAACCGAACGGACTTTTTACCTTTGGTTTAATATAAGTGCGTTTTTTTCAAATAAGTTGACTTCTAGTCAAGTTTCCGTATAGTGGAATTTTTCAAAACCATTCTCAAAGCTACCTGAACAAAAAAAAAAAAAAATTGCAATAAACTCGGTTCGAAACCATTTGCTTTGTCTGAGGTCAATTAGTTCTCAACTTTTATGAACCAACTGGTTTTTAACTGGTATATGTGAACTTGTATTTAACTAGTATATTGCTCATCTGGTTTGACAGGTGAACAAGTTGGATTCCGGCTTTCTACTTGCATTTTTCCTTGCAGTAGCAAATACATACATATATATGTATACCCACATGAAAATATTTGAGGTGCCTTTAAATCAAAATGCCGACTTATTGAGCAATAATTCTCAAAAAGTCAAAATGAAAATGAAATTGAAGTCCAAAGTCAAATCCTGCTAAGCAGGCGATAAAACCAGCCGAAATTTTATAAAATTTTGCGTTTTAAGCATATTTATGTATGTAGCTAATCATTTCGTTTTGTATATAATTTATATTACGCATTCTTTGCTTCTCTCTATTTTGTTTTCACGAACCTTTTGTTACGCCCAGTAAAAATGTGCAAAAGCACTTTGTTTAAGCACTTTTTATAGTAGAATTCCATTCTTACGCACTTAGTATGGGCTTTACCTTTTGAAGTCGTATGCATTGTTCGTCAGAAAACTTGAAAAGAAATGACGCTTCTTATGGTTAAAGCATTTTTTTTCTATTCTTTCTATACCTGCACGCATAGTGTTAACGGAGTATTACGGTTCGTGTAATTTTTCAAGTAAATCGAAAATGATAGGGCAGTGCGTATACGTAACAGAATTTTAATTTTTTTACAAGTAAAATCAATTACAAGTTTAAATCGGCTATATTTGAAGGCAAATAATTTGTTTAAAAACATTATATTAATAAAAGAAAAGCTGCAAAAATTTTTAATTTTTTATAAAAAAAAAAAAACATGATTGATTGATTCGAAGCATGAAAGTCCAGGAAGTAAAAGAGAAAAACACATCAGAATAAATCAAAAGAGCAATGTGAAATTGAGTATCAACCATTCGTATCTACAAATAAATAGTGTCACTAAAAAAACCCAAGTAATCCGAGAACTAAGTCATATAGCCCTCATACAACCGAATTATTCAGATATGGATTTTGGCTGGAAAATTCGCCAATAAAGCCTCAAGAAGCAAGAGCGCGCTCATAATGAATAAAATATTTGCTCTGAAAATGATCGAAATCGAATAATTAAAATCCGCTTATAAGCGATTTCTGCAGAAAAAGCCTTTCTTTGGAAACTCCGTCAAAAAATATCTAAGAGCATGAAATTTAGTATTATACACTAGTACTAAAAAAGCAGTGGACTATGTAGCCCCCATACAACCAATTTGTGCAGACATGTAAATTAATCATTCGAGCAACCATAGCTAGGTTCTGTTCCAGTTTTGATCTAGTGCATAATGTGCAACCTCAGAAACGCCGCACAGTGCGCATCGAAGCTGATATTGTTGCTGTAGAGCAGAGTATCGAAGAAGACTCTAATGAGCCCAACCGTCATCGCACGTAACCATTGGAGCTGTACCCAGCGACTTAATGGAAGAACTTGGCGAAAAATATTGGTTTGCGGGCTAACAAAATCCAAATCTTGCAAGATTTATAGACGAACTTACATCATGCTCGTCGCACATAGAGTAAATGGGTCCAGAAATGACCACCGATCGCGATTTTAACAAGAAAAGTTTATTCAGCGAAGAAAGAAACTTTTGATCGCATTTGAAGTGATAAGCCATAAGCTATTATTGAGATGCTGCTAAATCTTCCAAAAGTCACTATTTTGTGTGCTCTATGGGCAGGAGGAATCAATACTTCGTATTTCTGTAAAAATAAAGCAATCCTGAGTAGGAGCGTGTGGATGTGAATGACTTTTGGTTCGAACAACACGGCGCTATATATCATAACGCAAATCAGTTATTGAAGAAACTTTTATTGAACGCTTTATTTCTCGACGAGGACCTCCAAGTTAGTGTGGCTTAACACCACTCGGCTATTCTTTGTGAGGTTATATAAAGTCGCTTGTCTACGATTTGAAGCCTCTGAGGCAAATATTTCACGCATTACTGTTGACGTACGGCATAAGTTGCTGCAAGAGCTGATCGAAAACTGGGTCTTTCGGCTGGAATTGATTCGTGCCAGCTACACGCTCACTTTCTTTTTAATTGTACATAAAAATATGCATTAATATAAGTTTCAGTATATAGATATATACATTACTTATTACCTGTGTATATTTTTAACTACATTTTTCGGCCATTAGCTGCTGACATTTCGGCCCAACGGCAAGCTGTCACATCAAATAACCTATATCACAGCTGTTTTATGACACCAAAAAAAAAAAAAAAAAAAAAAAAAAAAAAAAAAAAAAAAAAAAAAAAAAAATATATATATATACAAACATGACATCGCACACGCACACTGTACACACTTTAAACATATATTGTATCCTTATTTTTTATCTTCCATTCACTCGTTTAGGGAAAACAAACTCGTTTTGTGATCCGCACCGTAATCGCTTTAACGTCACTTGGCTGTATATAATTTTTAATTGGATGTAATGTAATCTCTGTGTGCTTTTGTTGGATTTCTTTACTTTCAGTGCCGGCATACGTGTATACACAGAAGTTAAACGGTTGCCAGGATTCACTGGCGAAAGCATTGGGTTGCTAGATACAGACACAGAGATAGTGAGAGAGAGAGAGACATAAAGACATAGAGAGAGTGGGAGAGGAAAGCACTTGAGCTTACTTTAGGCCTTTCGCCTTTTTAGTTGTATTTCATGCATTTGGTTTTGAAAACTTTCGCACTATTTTTTATTGTTGTTACATTTTTATCATTGTACTTTCGCTTTTTTCTCTTTATATCCATCTTTAAGCTTAATAATAATTATTTTGAGTTGATTTTTACGCTTAGGCAACATTTGTTGTTGGTTATTGTATTTTATAATCCATAAAGCTCATTGTGCTTTTTGTCTATGGTGTTGGGTATGAGCTCGTTTTCTCCATAATTTGTGTAGCTCTTATTTAAATTTAATTTTTTTAAATTAGTTAATATTTATTAATTTTCATTTATATATTATGAAGATTACCATTGGATTGATATCAAAAGGTCTAGAAAAACCTGTTTTCTTTTATCTACGTTTCGTATATTATAATCGCGATTGAATTACACTAGATGACGCAGTCTCCTGGCCAGTATTAATTGTCAGTAAGATTTTGTTTGTGTGTTCGCTCGGTTTGATAACCTATCATCCACTATAAACTATTCCTTACAGAAGGAGAATTGTGTTTCATCAGGGCAACGCATACACATCGATAGTGACTCGCCAGAAGCGCCGAGAGCTTATAGTCAGGATCTCGCACTAAGCGCTAGTGACTAGTTGAAAATTTGGCCTGAAGAGAAGCACGTGAAAATCGTTTGTCGAAGAAGAGGAACAGGAAGAGGAAGAGGATCAAGAAGAGGAACAGGAATAGGAACAGGAAGAGGAAGAGGAAGAGGAAGAGGAAGAGGAAGAGGAAGAGGAAGAGGAAGAGGAAGAGTAAGTGAAAAAAGAAGAGGAGGAGGAAGAGAAAAAGAAAGAGAAAGAGAAAGAGGAAGAAGAAGAGGAAGAGAAAGAAGAAGAGGAAGAGGTAGAGAAAGTGAAAGATAAAAAGAGAGAGAAAGAGAAAGAGAAAGAGGAAGAGAAAGAGGAAGAGGGAGAAGGAGAAGGGGAGGAAGATGAAATGGAAGAGCAATAGAAAGAGGAAGAGGAAAAGGAAAAGGAGGAGAAAGAGGAAGCGGAAGGGGACGAAAAATAAAAAGAAGAAGAAAAAGAGTAAGACATAAATTCCGTTAGAAAGACCGGGTTGACAGTGAACTAATTTCACTTGAGTGGAGTCGGCACCAATGAAAAAGAGTACTTCAGATTTTTTTTAGAATTTCCAGTCATTTCTATAAAGTTGAACCTGCTTTAGGCGAGTTGTTAGTAGTACGTACTGTGGGGCTTAAGGCCATGGCTTCTGGGTGGGAGTATCAATTGCGGGTGGGACCGCGGTCAATCAAACAATCACAAAATCTCAGCTGGCAAAGGCAACATTTCTTATGAAACTCTATTATCCGTTCAGTGGAGGCGCCGACGCTTTTGTGATAATATTTTGAAAATTATATTCAAATATATGTATTAGCTCATTAGCGAGCAACAAAGAATGGTTGACCGTAACTCATAACAAAGCTGTTATATGCCACTCCTCCAGTCGTGCAACTGAAACTCCAGAGGCCAAGGCAATAAGCAAAGTGTTTGTGGCTAAATTATATATTTTGGCTTATACTGATTCATCGGTAGTCCTTTGCAACCACTTTATATACCACTACACTGGCAAACTTAAGCTTAAAATGCAGGATTTTAGCTACAATAAATACCATCCATGCAGCGGAAAGAAGTTAACTAGAGAGATTATACTACATTTGAAATCAACACCTGCTAACTGATCGTTCATTTGAAAGCAGTATTAGATTATAAAGTAAAATCTTTTTTTTAACACAAATTTCATATAAATTTATTTCACAAAATCACCCAAGACCTTACAACAAGCATTTAACTTCCATAACCATAGGGAGCAGTACTACGCACTGGCACATAATAATCACCATTGGCGAGTTCATAATTATAAACAGCGCCCATTTTCACGCCACTGTATGTGCCACCGCAACTCTTGCTGACGGCATCTTCGTAATCACCGCAACGCATGGAGGGAAAGTTATTTTCACGCACAGCCTCTGCGTAGTAAATACAGGAACGACCATGACTGCATGAGCCGGTCAAGTCAACGCCACAGCCGGGTTGTGTCTTGCCACCGTTAGGGTAGAAAGCGCCCTTGCCAATTGGTTTCAAGAAACCCAATTTACCGCCATTAGTTTGAATCGATTCGACATATTGGGCATCATTGCTGTTGAGACGCTTGTTGGGTTTGTTCCAGCTGAAGAGCGGCAGTGCGGGGTCCAAACCGACAATTGTGTGGATTTTACCAGCGCCCACATTCTTGCCCACATAACCGGCTGCTTGTGCGCCCAAACTGTGGCCGATCACTTCCAAAGTATTCAAACTCATGCTCTGGTTGCGTGACATGTAGTCAATCATGCTGGCAATCTTCTTACCCACACCGGGCACGGCGATAACGGATGAAGCATAATCAATGGAACGTGCGCGACCCCAATCAACAACAATGATATTGTAGTCGCCACGACTTAGCCAAGCATCACGGATCATTACGTTCATATCGGCTTCATAGCCCTGAGTCCAACCGTGTATGAGGAAGCGTGTTGGATGACGTGCATCGAAGTGTGAAGCAGAGATGGATTTCTCACTGGCAGTGATCGTTTGCGCGTCATAGTGATTATTCGTCGTATAGAGATAGTAGGTGACGGGTGAGACGCTGAGTGCGCGCGCTTCAAGTTCTTCTTTCTTCTCCAAGTCGGCCAAAAGGTTTTCACCCTCCTCAATGGTTATCCAGTCGTAGGAACCATCGCCTTTTGGTACATACCAGCCATTCTCACCATTCACACGACCATTGTCGTCATCATTCAAAGGTGCAGCCGTAGCTAGTTAAAGGAAATATGGTAAATATTTGGAGAAATTCTTCGAGGGTTGGAGTTATGAAGTAATTACCTGTCAGCGCGAAAATTGCCAGAAGCACGAGAACCTTCATTTCACAAAGACTATCAAGATATTAATGTCACTCTAACTCGTCGGGTATGACCTTTTTATGTCTTTTCGCCATTAACGGTACTTATTAAGTTATTTTATTATACATACATATATATTTCGAGTTCTCTAAGATAAGTCAGCTATCGGTGTTAGAACATCTCTTACGTGACTCTGGGGTTTTTGCCACAGGTTTGCGAATGGAAATCATTATGAAGTTACTGTTAAGTAAAACAGAGATAATTTTTGGACATAAGTTTTTATATTACATTTTGTTTTTATTATTATTTTCTGCAAAAAAAAAAATTATTAAGATAAAAGACACCAAGCTCGAGTGCACGGTAATCTCGGCAGCGATAAGCAAGCCAAGTACCTCTTGCGTCACTTATTTACTAATATTTTCTATCGAATATTTGCCAATTGAATTTTTAGAAAAAGTGGGTGTGACAAAGTCACGAGTGTACTGACGTATTAAGAAATTGAAACAAATAAGAGCAGGCACTGGAATGCGAACAAGAAAGGTTAAATTTTAGGATTTGCATTCCTCTGTGGTGTGGGCACTGCTTCCGCGATTATAGCCATGCGAATGTAAGAGCCTGTGCCCCTCCCCCCCACCCCCTCTGTCGAAAACTCTTAACTGTGAATCATCAGATACTGACATCCTCGGTACTATATAGCAGGACGCAAACTATGAGCCACTTTTAGGTTTTGGGCTTTGTTCGTAGAGAGAGGAGATGCTTCCACAATCCAAAGTAGCAATTGTTGGCAAGAGAGATTTGGCGTTGGGTTTCAAGGTTGTCATTTGTTGTTGGTTAACGCTGGTCTCTAGATAGACGAAATAATCTGCTACCCCGAAGTTATGACTGTCAATAGTGACGTGGGAACCAAGTCGTGTTTGTTCGACATCAGGAGATATTAAGTCTTGCCTTCATTTACGGACCCATAGGCTTCGTTCGCTTCCTTACCCTTTCTGTTTGAACACTGAACATCAATTAAAGAAGTCACTCTATAAAGAGTCACCTTGTCCGAATACTCGTTTGGTCCTTCCCAATTCTGCCTTTGGTTCTTGGGTTGTCTAGCGTCAGCTTACACAGCCGCGGGCATACCGAATTGAGACATTGTGGTGTGGAATCAGCTCTTTTTTTTTGCTTCAAAGCCACACTGATAAGGTGCAATCAGTTTACTGACGGTGGACTTAAGACCGTTGGACCTGATTATTCCTGAATCGGGCAGACTACACTTACTTAGGTCCCAATCATCTGGCGTGCTTTCAGCCAATCATAGCATGCACAGAGGCCGATGCTGGCAATTTTGTCTTTCCACAGTTCCCTTATATCGAGTTGCTGATGGTCTGCACGTCGAGTAGGAAACCGCTCGGCTAATTGCATTGATTGCCGCTCATCGATGTCGAAGCTTCTTCGTGCTTTTCACGTATGTACGTTCTTTGAAATACAGTTGCGGTTTGTGAATTTTTTGATTTGAAAACAGCCCAGTCGCTTGGTCGTTTTTCTAGTGCTTGAGTCTAGTACTAGAGAGAAACATTTTTCTGGTTCCAGCGAAATAGACCAGCCTCAACCCGTTTGAGGATGTTTCATCGTGCTAGTGTTGCCAAGCCCCATTTAGGTGCTAGGGCGGCGTTCATAAGCACACACCAGGCGTTTTGTGCACGTTTTGATGTGGATTATGGCGAAACGTTCATTCAGCTGGGTGACTGTCTGGTTTCGGCGACAGAGTCTCTCTCTCACAACAAATCCGAAACTAAATTTGCGTTCTTTTATAAGGCCGCTGTAGTAAATAGCACAGTAATCTATTCATCTCCATTCTTGTCTCGTCTATTACAGCTTAGTTTTACAAATATATCAACGCCAGAAAACGTCTCCTATTAAGGTGGCTTCAGATGTATAACCTTAAATCACAGTCTTCAAAGCGTTTTCAGTGCTCATCATCAAATGTAGGTCACTCTCTAACCTAGCGCCCCACTTCGATAAGTGAGTAGGTAGATTTCAAAGCACTCATATAGGGAGACACATGCTTTAACAACGACACCTGCTCGCAGCCGCACATCTGGTGAATAGACGTCGCAATTAGACTTCAGCGAACCCTTAAACCGAATATTTGGAAGTGGCTCCACTGAAGCTTCTTCTACTTTAGCCGTGATCTAAGGTTCTAGATGTTTTGGTTACCGCATCTTACACAAGCGTGACTCACGTTACCACGGTAGGCAGCCTGGACGCAAAATTTGGAATTGAATATAGCCCGTCGACTGTAACGGCATACTCAGAAGCTTGAATGGGTTAATCGCTTAATCAGTGAGGTGAGCAAACTCGCTAATCAAAGAAGGTCATCTAAGTGCCTTCTCAAGCATATTCTCAAGCATATTCTCAAGTGTTGGTGTAGTTTATAACTTTCATTTATTCTTTTAATCTCTTATCATTTTTATAATTTCCTCTTTCTCACTTTTTTGATTTGCTCAATTCAGTGAGCTGCTTTGCTAAAAACCCAACGATAATTTCTTTAACAACAACACGCTTACGCGTGCAACGAAAGTTAAATGATTTACAGTAAATATTCGATTGCGTGATAAGCTCAATGATAAAGCGAAAAAAATTTCTTAACTTATCTAATTTAAACAAAATATTTGAAGAACCACTGCAGAAAATATGAATTTATAGAAAAGGTTTAAAGATAACCTTGACCACCAATGGACAATTGTAATCAACTTTTCAATTCTTTTTGTGTTTATGAGGTAAGAAAGTAAATAAGAATTATATAGATAAAGATTGTATAAATAGGCGACGCTCTACAGCGGCAAGGCGCCGGTAAGACATTATTCCCTTAAATAAGTTCTACGTACGATAGCGCTTTAGGGAAATAGTGTTAATAATAAAATTTCCCCAAACTTGGTTATTGAAATTTCAATGCCAAACTTTCGAGGGGCGGAATTTAATAGTGAATTCTTACTCGAACTGTAGTCGATCAAAATTAGTCAAAGAACATTTGAAGTCTTTATTAGTGAGTATCTTTTTAAAAAATTTTTAATTTTTAGAAACATGATCAATACCGTAATCGAGTTCTAAAAAATTCGAGTAGTGGCGTTCTCAAGAGCTTGTCTGGAAGTTCAATTTGCTACTTTAAAGTCCGGGACTTTTTTGGCTCACCATCAGCAGCCATGCAGCCCCAGATCATAGTGCTGCCTCCTCCGTGCTTAACAGTGGGTATCACGCAATCTGGATGATATTCTTCTCCAACCCGTCGCCTCACGAACGTCACACCATTTGCTCCAAATATCTGTAGAAAAGATAAAAGAATGTTTTCATGAGATTTGTATTATGTCTTCAAAATTGCTATAGGGTACGCTGTTAATACTTTAAGACGATTTTAACTAAGCTTACCTCGAAGTTTGATTCATCGGACCACAGAACATTCGACCAGTCTTCTACCGTGAAATGTTAGTATCGGTGAGCCCATTCCTAACGTTTTTTAATATTCTTTTCTGAGAGCGGCTTCTTTCGTGCTTTACATACTTTCAAACCTGCTTCCCGAAGTCTTCTTCTAGCTGTTCGAGCACTAACTGGTTTACTAAATTCATCCGAAAGGGCAGCTGCAAGGGCAGAAGAAGTTTTTTTGCAATCCCTGAGAGACTCGCGTATAAGTATTCGGTCTTCTCGCTTACTGCTTAGACGCTTTCTTCCACTTTTTGATTTATTATTGTGGGATTTCGTCTACACAAATCGCCTGACGTACATTGGACGGCGAATCGCGGACATCCCAACAAATTGGCAATCTCAACCTGAGACTTACCTTCTTCACTTAGAACCTGAATTCTTACTCTATCACAGTAACTACAATATTTTCACTTTTTTTAGGCATTTCGGTAAATATGTAAGTGTTTTTAAGGGTGGTAACCTTTCACTAAATGTAATTTACACTCTCACTTTCAAATTTAAAATGCGAAAATATTTTATGAATTTCATAAAAATGACAATTCTTAGCCTTAGCTTACCCAGAGGGCCATGACTTTTAATATAAGGTTGTCAATGTTTCATGTTACAGCGATCGGATATAGTTAAAATATGTGCCGTTTTGTTCGATGGTCTGTTTACATCTAGACGGCAACTTCATAATACCTTCCTAGTAGAAGCCCCCCTCCTTGTTTGCGAAGAATTCGGACAGCCACTTTTCACAAGCCTCTTTTGAGTTCAACTTCACACCACCAAGGGCATTCGCCATGAACTGAAACAGGTGGTAATCACTTGGCGCTACGTCCGGGCTATATGGTGGATGTGATAAAACCTCCCATCCGAGCTCCCGTAGCTTCTGACGAGTCATCAAATAAGTGTGTGGTCCGCCGTTGTCCTGGTGGAACACTACACCCTTCCTGTTGGCTAATTCTGGACGCTTGTGGTCGATCGCCTGCTTCAAGCGGTCCAGTTGTTCGCAGTAGATGGTAGAATCAAGCGTCTGGCCATATAGGAGCAGCTCATAGTGGATGATTCCCTTCCAATCCCACCAAACACACAGCAAAACCTTCCTGGCCGTCAATCCCGGCTTAACCACTGTTTGGGACGATTCACCGGCCTTCGACCACGACCGTTTTCGCTTGATATTGTCGTATGTGATCCATTTTTCGTTGCCAGTCACCATCCGTTTCAAGAATGGGTCGAGTTCGTTCCGTTTCAGCAGCATATCGCATGCGTTGATTCGGTCCAGAAGGTTTTTTTGCGTCAAATTATGCGGCACCCAAACATCAAACTTTTTTTTGTATCCAGCCATCTGCAGATGGTTCAAAATGGTTTGGTGACTAACTCCCATCTCCTGGGCGATGTCACGAGATGCCATATGCCAGTCAAACTCGATGTATTCCATGATTTGATCGGTATTTGTCGTCACAGGTCTTCCGCCGGCTGGCTTATCCATGGTGTCGTTTTCACCGGCTCTGAATCGTCGAAACCATTCCTCCGCGGTTCGAAGTGATAGAGTACCATCCCCCAAAACACCACTAAT